GTCTTTGACGCCACCATCCAATGAAACTTTATCTTTGAATCTATTTAAAAAGAAAAGGACATTTCTCCTGAAGTAGAAGCAAAAGTCAACAAGTCTTGTGGCCTTATCTGCTTATATTCCTCTATTCTTTTCGTCTCTCCCTCGTCAACCTCTCTACCCATTCCCTTCCCTCTAACTCAAGTCACAGGCTTTTTTCCGAAATTCATTTCAGCCTTGATGGATATACTAAGCACCGACGGCTTTTGATTTAGGCTTCTGATGCTGTCTGCCTTCCCTAACATCCACTTTGGGTGCAGCGCTCCATCACATTGATTTCTCTGAAGATGAAACTCTGATTGAACAGACCTCTCTTGGCGGCCAAGGGCCCCCACGTGTGTCTTGCACTGTTACAGCATATGAAAGAGGACCCACCCTGTCTTCTGACAGGCAAACAACGCGAGGCCAACGAACCACTGCACCTTATACTGTGCGACCTATATTAAATATGGAACGTAGTGTGCAATTAAATGGCAGACATTTGTTCAGTAATGCTTACAAAGTCTGATAAAATAAAAGAGAAATTTCTAGTATTTTGTCCTCCATTCTTTAAAGGCTTCTCAAATCAAAGGTTGTGTTTTCACATGGGACTCTTTGTATTTCGATGACAATTCTGCCTTACCTCCAATACCAACGCTCAGTGCCAATGCAGGAAACAGTGTGCCCTCTATGTAATAAAGCGAAAACAAAGGGTGTTGGGGTCGGAATGGTGGATAAGTGCAATCGACCTTCACAGCAGAGCCCAGAATTTATGTCTTATCTCATACCAAGCATTAATGTTTCTTAAACCTGATCTCTTCCTGAGCTTAACCTTAAAAGAAAGTGACCATACCCAAACAGTAGTGAATACTGATTTGACATTGGAATACCAATGCAAATTAATATTCATAGTTCAGGCTAGCCTTAGTGTGTACATGCATATATGGTGCAAGTGTGTGTGTTTGAATTTGCCATTGTCTTGTGCAGGTGGCGTGGAGGTGTGTCTGACATTAGAATGAAGGTAGCCTCTGCATAATTCAGATGAACCTGTCTCCTTTAGTCTCCTATATTCCTCACTTCTCTCTCTCTCTCACACACTCCTATCCTCATGTAACCCTCCACATTTTAAATGTAACTCTCTCATTTTCGCAGTCTGTGTATCTGTGTGGGTTTTTTAAAGATCTTTCAGTGCTTTAACCTTCAAGAGATCATAATATATCTTCTGTACCATTCATGAGCTCTGATCAGGTTGTGTGCCCTTCTTCCCAGTGATAGCTCATTATACCAGGCCTACACACACACCACAGTTTGGGGAAATTATTTGATCACTGGATTCTTTAATTATGCATGAATGCAATGTAGAGGCTCTAATTAAATAAATGTGGTGACTTCTTCAGTGTATTACTTATCTTGTTCTTTATTCAGAAATAAATGGATGTTGGGAGGAATTAACAGAAGCTCTAATGGCCTCTAAGTCAGCATCAACGGAAACCTTCTTATACTCTATAAGTACCTGCCTTATCTTTGTTGTGGTTTAATTTTTCCGTTGCAATGCACCTCAAACAATGTCTATCTGACATAAACTTTTAGCTATCTGACTCTAGTGAGAGACCACAAACTCCCACTGAAGGTACCCAGAATGGTGACACAGACTCACAGAAAGCAAAGAGAATTGACAGTTTCACTCCACGTGCAAGATCTATTTGCATCAGCACAGGATACAAGCAAACCGAGTTGTCTCGAGAATCAACTAACTAGAACAAAGAAAATCACTCCATTATATGCCTCTTTCCCAAGGGTGTCTATCGGTGACGTCTAATGTCTGATAAGCAGTAGTCATAACACATGATGATGCCCTACTCTCCAGGAGACAGACTTGGTCGTTGGAATGTGCTTAGCTCATGGCACACTGAATAACACTCTCCTAACTAGGGTGAGACAACCAGAGTGTGAATGCATGAGGATTAACATACATGAACATAAAATATCATACTGTAAGCCTGTAAAATTAAACATAAAACAGCACAACATAATATAGTTTGCTTCATGTTCGCAGAACCTTATCCCTGAATGCATTTTCCCACTACATCTTAATGAGGAAGGCTTCTCCTTGTGTGATCTTATCCACCTGCTCTATCTCAGTGAATAGGTATACTGTGACCTTCTTTAAAAATGTTCAAGGGAACAAGTAGACTAATAAAATCAAGGATAATAGGATAATAAGGTGTGCCCATAAAACAAACAATACTACAACCTCACAATCAGCTGCTCAATCAGATATGTAATGAAAGGTTGCCATACACTGCTAAAATTATTCTTAGGTCCTAATATAGCAACTCTTATGGTTCTCTTTCTTAAAAAATGTAGTATATCACTGATCCAGTGTTTAAAGGAGAGAGGGGTAGTCTGCTTCTAATTGAGTAAAATGATCCCTCTGGCTAAAAGAGGGACATAGGTGATACAATTTGACTGTGCCCTAGGAAGAGGATTGTCCTCACACTGAATACCAAAACTGGCTGTAAGAGGATTTGGATCTATTGGTGTTTCAAGTTTCTTGGATATGGCATCAAAGATGGAGGACCAGTAACCCAAGAGCCTCAGGCAAAACCAGAATGCAAGAGCTAGTGTTGCAGGTGAGTTCTTACATTGATTACAAGAATAACAACCAATGCATACGTCTTTGAGATTCGGACTTTAGACAGTTGAAGTCTGTGTACCACCTTGAATTCAATCAGGCCATGCCTGGTATATGTTGATGAGGAGTGTATTCTTGAGAATATATCTGACCACAATATAGTCAGACTGAATTGTACATTCAGATTAGACTGCCATGCCTCTCTCATTGCATCAAGAGATTACATTTGCATAGGTGAAAGTTTCCTTATATGACAGATATTGTGCCTTTGACAGACAGAGCTGCAAGTGCAATTGTTAACACACAATAAATACAATTTGATCTGTATTACAGTATTACTTTTATTACATCATTTCCATTTGCCCATTTCTGAGTTAAAAATAATTTCTAAACTGGCACATGCAAAAAGCTATTCTAACATTCTTAGCATTATTCAAGTTTGGATCCTCCATTCGAAATTCAGTTTTCTGATTAATTAAAATTTAAAGATTGTTGCTTAGGACAAATGTATCATTGTACATTTCAGTGTTTACATCTTACTCTCAGCCATAAACATTGTATGAAAAGAAGGCTGTGTGTGTAAGCAGTCGAGGGGGCTAAAGCACTGTGTGTTCCCAGTTGTGCCTTATGTCAACATCTGATCAAAGCAGTATGCTCACACACACGCACACACACTAAGAAAAAAAACAAGCATAAAAAATGCACACACATGCATGCGCTAGATTGCTTCACTATGCCCTCAGGGTATTGAATAAGCTTGCTTCTTGATGTTCCCCTGATCATTACATTTATCACATTGCATCAGTAGAAAATCCTAAATAAACCTTTTAACAGGCTTCTCCTCAGTAATGCAGTAAATAGGCTTCTTATCCTAGAGGCCAATGGGTTTATCTTGGTCTACAAAGCCCATGATACAGACTTTTGTGGTGCGAGTTGCAGGATTGGAGCAAGTAAAAAGGTTTTTCGTCAGTATGAATAGTCAGAAATATACAACAGTCACAAACCGGAATCTTACTATTGTGGAGCCAATTTGATTCATCCAACGTTACACATGAAATAGTGATTATTTCATAATAATAATGTGTTTTAAAGCTTAGTTCACGAAAGGCAGGGCTTTTTTTCAACAATACATTTTACCATTTTAACAAAAAACATAAGTAAGGTAAGGTAAGTGCCCAGCCTGCATGGTCTTATTAGACACAACACACATAAACAAGAGCAATAACATAATGACAGCAAAGGAACAATATTATAATAAACCATACATGCCAAACAATGTCTAACCAAATATGAACACCATCCTGCTACTACTTCTTTAACACACCAAACATAAAGCACCCTCATATGCTTTTGGTAGGCATTTAACACAAACTGAGCTAGGTAAAACACTTGGTAATGCAGACAAACTGAAGCTCTCCATGTAACCCGACATCCAGTATGCATGACTAATTTTTGTACATATCTGAAATGATGATTCATGAATATTGTTTTGAAGGTTTCTTGAATCAAGATCATGCCATAGCAGCAAAAGCACAGGTAACTTGTTAAATTGAAAGTTGAAGTTGGACTATTCTACACAGAACTGTAAGCTATATTTATTTTACATTATACCGTTTCTATATTGTAAAAATTATAACTCCCAATTTAAATCTTTCCTTGCAATTGTTGTTCTTTGATTACATTTTTATTTATTTTTTAATTTTTTTCTCTGATATGGTTTTGAAATATGCTCGATTTGCATTAAGGGATTTCAATCTGACAAACTAGATAAGATAAAGATATAGGCTAACTTTAAGTTCAATTTTGCTGACGAAAGTCCTTGGAATAGCTTTTACCCCAACCCCCTAAATAGCAAATACAAAGAGAGTGATGAAATCCATATAATCTAGGCTATCAAACATAACATAACTAAAAAAGAAAAGCTTTCAGTTAAATGTAAAATGACACGGTGAAAGAAATTTATATTGTATTTTTTAAAGATATAATAATGCTTGGGCTGACCATGAAATAATATAATATTAAAATGTTTACACAAATGTAATAAATGCAAATGAACAATACAGAGAAGTAACAGTAACTTAAGACCAAATCAAATACAGTGTTGTGAAATATATTAGTAAGTTCTTCTGATCCTTTTTTATGTTTCTCTTTTGTTTGTTTTGTTTATAGCTTTATTTCTTTTCTATATTCAACAACTGAACAAAGCCTCGTTAAAAGTAAAAGAACATTTTATTTTCTGGGCACATTTAGCAACGTTTTTTGAGTTTCTCCTGTTTTATGTTACGTTTTCGATGATTTGTGTACAGTCAGATACAGTGTGCTGCGCAAGTCCCACGACTCAACATTCCCTACCTGAAAAGCGAAAGCTTGAGCGTTTCGACACTTGCGAGATGCCGTAGTTCGGAATCCGGAAGCACAGCTGCTGTCATCCAAACAAACAATAATGTAAGCAATATTTTGACGATAAAGACATTACCTGCTATTATTTTTACAGTGTTGACTTTAACGTTTGTGCAAGGGGCTTCTCTTTGTTCTTGTGACACTTAGAGATACGGCATTAAAACGTGAAACAGAGAGTTAGTTAACCGTGAAAGTCAGCCGGGAGGCTAACTGTGAGTTAGCAAACTTCCCGGCTGAGCTGCCACATCGTCACAAACTGACAGCAGGGCCGCAGTCACTGTTAATATATATGTTACCGAGCTTTTGGACACGTTTACTTAGCTTGTTTAGGGGCTTATCAATGTGTGTTAACCATATTATTATGTTTAAGTCTGGTAAGTCATACTGAAGCTTATTATTCGCCATTGCATTCTCCTATTAAACCATTTATTAGGTTAGAAAGCTGAATGAGGCATTACCAATTCGTCTGGGCATGAGTAACTGATACGTGTAACATATATAAGTTTGGATTGCCTGACTAATGGATAATGTGTTGATAGTTTGAGTAACACTGCTTTTCAAACTGTTCACAGGGGTTGATTTTGGAGAATGTCCTCCAGAGGCGTAGTCCTCCATTTGCAAACCGTCTGTACAAGTCTAGTGAAAGTGACTTGAGTAAACTGACTGACTTCACCTGCATTTGGATACCTTCAGCCATGGCTCGGGAGGAAGAGGAAGAGGGGCTGACAGGCGATGCACCCAAGGAGGTGGACGTGTTTACATCAGTGCGTTGCCTGGGTTACCTGTCCAGCGTCAACCTCCTTGTGGCGGTGTGCGTTGGCATGTACGTACGCTGGGAGGTGACAAGTGAACCAATGATTCTGGTCATCTTCATCCTGGGCCTCTTCGTCCTGGGGATAGCCAGCATCCTCCATTACTACTTCGCTATGGAGAAAGCCAGTCTCAGCTTATTCCATTTGTGGTTTGGCTTTTTGCTCGGCCTTCTGTGCTTCCTCAACAGCCCCGCATTGGATTCAAACGTCAAGGAACTGGTCGCCAACTATCTCCTCTTAGCCTGTGTAATCATGAAAACAGTATGGGCTGTAACTGAGCGAATATGCAGCTCCGTCCGTTACAAACCCAGCTTGCTAACATCAGCTGAGTTGCTGGAGCTCCTGGGATTTGGCATTGCCAGCACTTCCATGCTTCTTCACAATTCAGTGGCCATAATAGGCTTGGTAGTGGCCCTCGGGGCTCTCATTGTGGACTTAAGGATGAAATCCCTCCTGGCTTTGCCCAACCTGGTCAGTTTTGCCTTGGTTACCTCTCTTGTGTTTTTCCAGGCCTTAGGCATTACTGCCAACCCTTATGCCTTAGGCTGCTACGTTGGCAGGCTGCTGTGTGAGCCCGTGCTGGATGTGTACTTCAGTGGGCTTGGGTCCACTGAGCGCTGGATACCTGTGCTCTCCATGGGGAGGGTGTGGAGGAGGCTGTCCCTGCTGCCTCTGAGTCTGACTGAGCTGGCCTTCTTTGTCCTAGCTGCCTTAAAGGTACATTCAGCATTTTGCAGAAATTGATATTTCCATTATGTGAGTCTTTAGGACTTCTGTGTCAAACTCAATCATGTCTTGCAATGTGTAACCCTTATAAAACAGTTATTTTGACTGTGTTTTGTATGGCTTTGTTTAAGTCTGTGTTTAATGACACTTTTCTCTCACCTTACATAGCTTGGCCACTTGGAGCTGTGGTATTTGGTGATCCCAGGCTTCTGCCTGTTTGGCCTTTTCTGGTCCATCTGCCACATAATCCTGCTGATCACAATATGGGGCTTCCACACCAAGTTGAGCGAATGTCAGAAGGCCTGGCGGGCCCAGCGATCCAGTAGCCGGAGTCTCGACCAAGTCATGGCCTCCAGGGGCATCCGTCACTTCTGTCTCATTTCCGAACGTCTGGTGTTCTTTAGTATGCTGTCAACGGTCATACTGGGAGCTGTATCCTGGCAGGTAGGAGACACAAGAGAGATTACTACTACTTAACTCATATCAGAAATTATTATAGCCAAGTTTGCAAAGTATCTAAACCTTAAATATATTCCTTTCATTGCCCTATTGTTTTTTAATCAATAAACATTTCTAATAGCACAGCTGGCATCATTATAGTCACAACATATAGGCATACTGATGAGAAACTTGTTGAGAGGGTGCACAATCTTAAGACGTTTGCAGAAAACCTCACTGATCATGCTGATCACGGTTCCTGCTCCAGTTCTTCCTCTTACAGCTATGGCACTTTGGCTTTCATGACAAGGCCTCAATAAACGTCATACACACGTTATAAAATGTGGAGAGAGAGATGCTAGTGTCGGTGTGTCGTTAGTAGTTGCTCCCCAAGCTTCGGCACTTCTGCTCTCATGCGGAACCAATTTAATTAGCACTTTAATATCCCTATCTACTTGCATAAAGAGCAGCAATAACTTATTTAGCCTTATTAGACGTTTACCCTGTAAGAGTCTCATGGGCCTGAGTCCTAATTTGAGATCTGCACATTGTTGATGTCGGTTGCAAATTTGCCTGAGATGGTGGGAGCTGTCTGCACCGAGAAAGGTAATGATTGTGTAGCAATTTTTTGCGTCAGATTTTTTATGTTAACAGCTTTTCATTTACCTGTGCTGTTTAAATTCACTAATATACGGTCATTTAAGTCCACGTAACTCTCATGCACACACGCAAACAAAAATAACAGCAACGGTTGTACAATTGAATGCAGTCTCAGCAATAAATACAGCCTTTGTGAAACTACATAGGTGTTGATTCAACTCGATGCAAATGTTTAAGGCCACCGTTTCCAGTGTTTCATTGGATTCTCAGCTTTCCATGGAATTTATACGAAAGACGCACCCGAATAGATGTGCCTATTCAAAGACATTTATATTGCATGTATTATAGCTTCCTTTCAAAAGTCTGCACAGAAATGCATTTGGAAGTGTGGACTGACTGAAAAGCAGGATCGTGCCTTTGTGCAATTGTATAGAAATGACTTCTCTGATCAGAAGTCAGCTTGTGAATGTGATGCTGTTGAGTGCTGAGCTGTTCTCGAGCATCCCCCCGCTCCCACTTCTACTGCAAATCAATCATCAATCTGTGAGAACCACTACGGGTTCGACCTCCTTTATACTGTTTTGTTTGCTTATAATACTTTGTTGGAGTGGAGAATGCAGTATTATCCATTTAAGGGATATACAACTTCATAAAAGTTCAATGAATGAGTGTAAAACATTTTTCAACTCAATGCGTACTCTAGGCAGTTCAGTATATTCTGCAAACTCAAGTGTGGTTCCACTTAACCATGCACGTATTGATTTGCATTCTCAAATACATTGCTCTGCTATGAAATCAAAGGGGCTTTTTGAGGATGCTAAATTGCACTGCATACCATCACAGTGACTCAAGAAATTGATTGCACTTAAAGCCTAAGAGTGTGTTACAGCACAAGATCTGCTTTATGTCACTACATGGTCATGTGTATATAATTGTATTTGTAAGAATGCAATTTTTTGTGTGGCTTTTAAGCATTAAAATCTAGGGAAAAGAAACAAGAACATAAAATTATATTCTACAGACTCAAGGCTTCCCAGAAAGTACAGGCTCATATACTGCAGTCATTATTCTGTTTTGAATGTGATGTATGTTTAGGCTGCTGTCACACACTGCATTGTGTCGTCATTTAGTTAGGTCCCGTCATGTTTTGTCCTGCGATAATAACACTGTTCCAGTGTGTAACTGTCTTGCCAAGTGTCACCAGCAATTAACTGGGTCTGATTGCTTCGGTCCAAGCTGTAAGTGTTGAATGAAAGTGACTGATTCTTTTGCAGGCCTCCAACGGTCTCTTTCTCAGCGCTCTGCTGGTGGTGCTGCCTTTGGAGTCTCTGGCCCACGGCTTGTTCCACGAGCTCGGCAGCTGTCTGGGGGGAACCTGTGTTGGCTATGCCCTGGTCATACCTACTGCTTACTGCAGGTACTGAAGAAAGAGGTGGCAACAGACACAAACAGACATGTATAACAGACTTACACAGACACACTTAAATTTGCAGTAGCAACCAGCAAGCAAATCAGGTGAGTGGAGTGGCAGCAGGCGTGCAGCAAAAGAGTGACCAGAACACTGACAGTTTAAGCACACCCCATGATTAAAAGGGAGCACTGGATGTGTGAGACGGTGAGAGGAGTATGACGTGTGAGTGAAATGGCAACTCGAGTTGAGCCTGATGAATGACTTAAACATTCAATTGTCAAAATTGTTGTAATTAAATTTTCTGTCAATTAGGCTGATTAAACTGACTGATTTTCTCAACTAATCGCTTAGACTTTAAAATGTCTAAAAAGTCCAAGGTGCTGTCCTCTGGACTGTCAAACAAACAGTCCAAAACAAAACAGAAATGCACAGTTTATTATTACATAAGGAAAAGAAAAGACATATCCTCATACATATCAAGTTAGGGGAAACAATTACATAATACCAAAATAATTTCATAATAATTTAAATTTTCTTTCAACAGACTAAATAATTGAGTAATCATTTCAGACTCTTAAATGTTTCATTATAGTTTTAGATCTTTAACACAAGTATATGCAATCCTACTGTAGTTGCAGCTATTTACTTGCTAGCTAAGCAGATTTGACAGTCGACATACTCAACCAATCAAAACCTACGCTGCAGCAAAACACACACCGCATTTACACACACAAACACACATGCTGGACTCACTTTGCCCCACGTCGAAGCCTTTCTTGGCATCACAGGCGCTGGTAAATATGATCACTCATTCCAACTCCCTCCTCAGTTAACACAAAACCAACTGGATAAATAGGCCAATAACTATGCATAAACATGCCGCTAATGTTTTGGCCCTTAAGGGATCATTCCTGTGCTCCCTCCGCAGCATACTAAGTTGTTCAGCTGGAGCAGTTAGCCATTAGCTGCTGCCGCTGCTGCCTCTCCCAGTACCCTCTCAGTCGGCCAAGCATTTTCTGAAATAGCCGAGTTAGTTTTGATGATGCCGACACGTCTCCTCTTCATCAACAGCAGAAGCTAGCCATCATTTACACATTAGTGTTTCTATCTAGCCTTTGGAGATTTATGGCTGGTGTATATATATTTCTTTCTTTGAGCCTTTTAGCTGATAGTTAGCTTGAGCATTCACAGGGGATGCCAGCCTTACTGGTGTACTCCTCAGGTGATTTTGGATGCAGGTCCATGTCCTATTGGAGCAGTGGGTGCTCTGTATGCGAGGCCGTATGTTCATGGTCCATAGGGAGGACAGAGAGCATGATGAGAATGCAGCAGTGTATAATCGGCTGTTTGATGGCTGCAGATCATGTTTTCACAATGACAAGAGCCCCACAGGGAGATTAGAGAGATAGAGGTGAGAAGGGGAGGCGCACAGGGTAAAACGGGGAGGGTGAGACGAAGGGAGGAAAACACAAGCAGAGGACTGAGGTTGTAAACAGTGAGGCAGGGTGGTGGTAAAAGCGTAAAGGGACTAACACCAAAGGAAGGGGAGGAATTGTGAAAGAAGGGAGGGAGGGGTCGAGCTCTGAGAGAGCTGTGGAGAAAAGGACAGGATTTTTTTTTTTTAAGGATGAAAGACAGAGTGTAACAGAGAAAGATGTGGTCTGAATCTCAAACTACAAGACTTCACTACCCTTGGCGTTGTGAGATCTGAAAGGATCAGATGGGTTTAGGTGAACGGGGAGCTTGCAAAGCCATGCAAAGGTTGCAACATGTCATTTTCTGATCAAGTGTAGTACATCTCTATTGCAGGCTTTTACATTATGCTGGAAATGTGGTCTTTGTGCTTGGTGCACACATGGAGCATCCACATTAGATAAAGAGAAGCTTTCACCTCTTCTCGTCAAGGTGAGGTTGAAGGTGGTAATGGGGGCACAGAGTATAATACGATGACAGAGTTATGCAGATGTCTGTAAGAGTGAAATATGACTTTGCCATCAACTTGGCCATGAATAACATCAAGTCAGAGAGATGGATAGAAAATGTATGGCTGCAATGAATAGCTGATAGCCTTGGTGTGTGTGTGTGTGTGTGTGTGTGTGTGTGTGTGTGTGTGTGTGTGTGTGTGTGTGTGTGCCCCCTTTGCGTTATCATCCACTTGTTATTATCAGGCAGGGCTTTGTGCCACATGCATCCACACACACTTTTCTAAAATCACTTTGCCCTTAGCCATCTTTAACCTCAGTTTTCACTCTCACTTCTTGTCACCCTGCTCAATTCTCTTCTCTGTACCCCCTTTCTTTCTAGCCATTTTCTTACTTCCCTTTCATTCTTGACTCCCTTTGCATCCCTGAGGCTAATGTCATTTCCTTCAGCAGTGATCCACCACTCCTACTTCCATATGCTTTTCGCCGCATCTCCTCTTATCCTCTGCTCTCTGTCTCCTCTCTCTCCCCAGTGGTGCAAACAGCTACCCCACCCCGGTATGTGTCAAACTATCAACTTCTCACTCATTCATCTCTCGTTTGCTTGCACCCCATCTCTCTCTTCCACCCCTTCTTTTGACAAGCCACCTATCTCAAGTCTCCCTCGGAGTAGATAAAAAAAAAGATTAACATCCAAGTTTTTCTCTCATCCTCTCATCAGTGCTGATGGCCAGCCCACTCTACTACCACCTGAGCAGGTACAACAGCTGAACCTGCGCTCTACAGGTATGCTGAACAATGTGCAGCGCCTCTTCTCCCACCACATGATCCAGACGTTTGGCTGTGACTACTCCACCAGTGGTGTTACGCTCGAGGCCTTGCAGACAAAGCTGCGCAACTTTCTGGAGCTACATACAGAAGACGGGCCACGTCATGACACCTATCTGATTTTCTACAGTGGGCACACACACAAAGGCACTGGCGCTTGGGCCCTGGCCGGTGGGAAACCCATTTTTCTCTTACCTTCTTTGAAAATTATCAGTCCTCACTGTTAACTTACTTCTCATTTGTTTAATTTCTGTGGATGTATTACGGATGCAATCTTGAAATTTTACTGAAATAAGCATGAAAATTAGTAGTCTTGCACAGATATTTTTCATCTGACTGCAATACCACCTGCTTACAGTTCTTGGCAAGGCTCTGTTATTTACATGTATATAGCATATTTCATTACCTCTATGTGCTTAACGTTGCAAACAGGAGTATGCTTTTATTACTGTGATTGCCAACCAAGGGTATGTGTACCACAGGGTACGCATCATCAACATTCTACAGTAGCCAAGTAGTATGTGCAAAGATTGTAACATAATTGAATTTAGTGTCTGTACAAAACTATTTACATAAATATGTATTCACATACTGAGTCAGCTGCAACACCTGAACATTATATATTGAGAACGAGTCGGTGAAAAGTAATTAGCAAGCGAGCAGAGATTCAGTGAGCTACAAGTAACTTAAAAAAACAGTTTGTAGTAGTATAATAGTGAAGTAGGAATAGCTAAAATTATGGATAAATTGCTGAAATTCCGAAAGATTCTGCCACTCAGAGTGGTCTCCAAAGTAAACAATGACAGTTCAATTGAATGAAAAAAACATTTGCACTTTTGCACAATTAATAGTGAAATAACTTCCAGTTTAAAAAGTTTCAATGAAGAGGCATTAGAGTTCTTCTTACAGGGCTGTGAGGGTCCATAGAAGGTTGGAAACCACTGTATTATTATACAGTAACACTGATGTTTGGTGCAGTTGCTTTATAAATAGACATCATGATTTATTATTGAACTTTACGTGTTCAGAGGATCTTGATTGACTAAACAAGATGGGCACACTATTTTAACCTTTTATGTAGAAAAAGAATAATTCAGTTTGGCATTTTCAAACATCTGTGCTGTTGCATTTTCACAGCAGGTTTATCTGTGAAAGCGTTCCTGTAGGATGCCGACAGTCACACTGTAGCCTCGAGTGAAAACAGTTTTGTAACCATCAACAAGATTACATTTGCCACCTTAAACACAATGAACAGGAAGTGGTATATCAGTAAGTTGGAAAAGTTTTATCTCTTCAGAGTTGGCTAGTAGTTATCACAAATGATCAGTCAGTTGAACAAAACAAAAATTGAACACAAAAGTTGCATTACGGCGGAGCTGTTGTGTCGGATGACATTGTATTCTCCCTGCGAAATGGATTTGCATTTCAGTCTGATTTCCATTCTTTCCATTTCCCCCTCCTCTCGATCAATCAGAGTCCAATTTGCACAGATCAGACGAGTAAGCCAAAAGAGTTAAAATTACTGTGAAGGACGCGGCACAGAAGTTTGTTTTCCAGTAGAGAAGATTGTGTGAAAGTTGCAGACGGTCGGCTGTGACACAAGTATTCCCTCAACAGAAATGAGAATCACAGCAGGTTAACACCATGTCAGCTCCAGCTCTTCTTTTCAGAGATTATCTGACACATTATCTCTGCTCGCTGCTCCAAACAGCAAAAAAAAAAAAAAACATTGAAAAGATAATCACTTCTCTGCGTCACCATCCTGAAGGGACGTTTTTAGTCGGTGTTCAGTGGACACATTTTGGAAGAAAGTCGGCTTGTTTTGGCAGAAATCCAAATTGGGAACTGATTTCAAGTCATATTTCCACTCTGATTCTTTCAGATACAAAGACTTTGTGTGGCAGTATTGTCCTACATTATATTGTCTTTATTCTGTTCATCACAGTGGATAAATGCCTGCAGCAGTGTCTGCAAATCGGCTTGTTGTAGATTTTTAGGCATGTGGAAGGAGCCCAACTTCCTCCCCAAATATTGATCAGTCTTTGATGGCGTTGCTCTGTGGCCAGCAGTAGGAGTCATTTTTATCCTCAGCTCTTATTTACTTACCTAGCACTTTCCTGCAATAAATTATGATTTTGAGGTAACAGAAATATTTTGGTACATCTGTTGGCGAGGGGACCACAGATCTGATCTTTGTACTTTTGGATCTGCCGTCTGGAAAACAGCAGCTTTGTGCAATGTATGGGGTTGTGATGACAGCAGTTTGACAGACAGTCCCGTAAGTGAAAGCTGACAGGTTTGATCCCTGTAAAGCCACTGTGTCCATCAACAGCCATGTGTCCCATTGAAATGTCCTTGAACAGGACACTGAACCAGTAGCAGCTCTATAAACACCACTGTAAGTGAGTTTGTTAGAGTTTGAGCTGTAAACATAAAAATGCTAATTAACCTGACACCTGCCACAGAGAAATGTTGTTTAAAAGATAAAACTTTAATCTACAAAAAGTTGGGATACTTATTTATCATTCTCTTCCTTCCTTTTCCCCTCTCTCTCTCCATCCTGCACTTTCTTCCCAACCCCCTTTGCTGCAGGAGGCGAGAGCCTCCGCCTTGCCGAGCTGCTGGAGTTGTGGAAGGAGAAGAACGCCGGCCACTGCTCCCGTCTCATCCTCATCCTGGACACCGAAAACTCCCTCCCCTGGGTGAAGGAGGTGCGCAGGATGGAGGGCGTCTATATAGCCGTGCAGGGGGCTGAGCTGTCCGCCACCAGGGTGGACCCAGAGGCCGGTGACATCCCCCTCCTCGGGGACTTCACCTCAGAGTGGGTGGAGTTCAACTGCAACCCAGACAGCAACAACCAGTGGTCAGAAAAGGGAAGGACTGTGACGGCTGTGTACGGCGTGTCCAAACGCTGGAGCGACTACACGCTTCACCTACCCACTGGAAGTGATGTGGCCAAGCATTGGAAGACCCACTTTCCCAGGGCTACATATCCCATGGTGCATCTCTCAAACTGGTGCTGTGGCCTCAACCTGTTCTGGTTATGTAGCGTGTGTCTGCGCTGCTTCAGGAGGTGTAAACTAGCTTGGTTCCCACCAGCTGTATTGGACACTGGGCAGGGCATTAAGCTGGTGCACTCTTAGAGATAAGGGCAACATGTACATTTTGATTCTGGTAGATTTTGTTTTGATAGCTGGGTACGAGGTGTCTATAGTAAGAGGGAAAATGCTGGTTATACCCCATCAGTTAAATGTGGCCTTCTGTCAGAAAGGTATTTTTGCATCATGTTTAATTGATGTGATGCCAAGACATTGTGCTGATCATTTTATAGAAAAACACCAGCTCAGTGTTATATTATGTAACACAAAATGAGGGAGTGGAAAGCCAAATAATATAACCCCTTGCTTTTTTTGATGATCTCAAAAACAAGAGACATCACAATTACAGTGGGTTAAAAAAAAAAAAGAAAGACAGTTTTTATATTTCGGTACTGTGTTAAGTTTTTGAACACTATTTTTCTATTACTGCATCATTATTTCTTTTGAAAGGTCTCGTTAATTTTTTTTTTTTTTTTCAATACCATATTGTCTTAAAGTGCCTTACAAATGGATTTGGTGTCACCTTTAAAATGGAAGTTTTTCATATGTAAATGTATGTATATCTATACCCTTGCCTTGCCTCTTATTTATATTCAGAGGATTTAGCTCATGCTCTTAACTTAAACTATGTGAGCAGGGAGTGTCTTCCTAAAGCCTTTCAACAAGATAGACAAAATGTTGGGCTGAACTCAGTGACCCTCTGGTTACAGTCCAACCACGAGGCCAACCCGTCACTCTCACTGTGGGATCTTTTCCTCATCACTTTCAAACAGCGAGTTTCAGTTTAGATAAGCATTTATTCCTGAACTGAAGAAAGGCTGCGAGACAGAATATCATCACTAGACAATGGCTCTGTATTGTGCCTCAAGCTGTTTATTTACACTAACTAATTCAAGTTGAAGTCATTTGCTCTGTACAAACATGACATTCAGGTTCTGTAGCTGTTCTCCACGTTGTGAAACACATGGACGACAAATCGAGAAGCTTCCAATGCTTTTTATGGGTGCACTGACCTGAAGAACTCATATTGACCATCCTTTATTTCCTACTTTATTTGCCGTGTTGGAGCTCTCCCCCACACGTCCCTTAACTCTGGAGTGCATTGCTGCCTTAACGTTTGTGTTTCCAAGAGGTCAAGTGGCATTTTCCACATGTAATTCCCCATGTGCCTCTCTTGAGTTATGCCTGAAAATGCAAAAAAATTAAACCTGGATAATAAACTGATTGCTGTCTGATGTAGTTGCATGAGAAATGTAGGGAGAGAATACAAGTGCATGCAAGTTTAATTAAATGGAAATAGCCAGGCGCATTTATCATGGCTGGCTTTACAGACGCTGAACAAATACAGACTCTGCTCTGTGGAAACACTAGCATCGCCCGGCAAATATTAGGATAGCTGAAGAAAAAAAATGAGAGTGTAAAGGGAAAATGAAACAATATGTGACACAGTATCTCTGAGGGATTTGCTCACCGAGCTTTCACCTCAGTTAGTCGCAGTGCCTGGCTGGACATGTGTCCAAGGCGCTGCTGGGTATTTCACTGGTCTCAGAAAGCAGGGCTGTGGCCGGGCTCATGCCTGAAGGGTGCTGTTAGGCACAGAGCAAGGTTTGGGGAGACTTCGGAGAGATGAAAGCTGACATTAGGAGCAACGTTTCATATCAGCTTTCATCTTTAACATGCAACAGGATAAAGCAGAGGAGAAAAACGGTGTGAACCAAAGAAACCTTTCACCACTCTTTAACTCGCTGTGCCTAGGTGCTGTAAATATCAAACCATTAGGCAGGTATGAGCAATAAGCTCAGCATTCACAGTGGCAATTAGTGAAAAAGAGACAAGTATAAATGCTCTGTTGTGTGGGTGTTCTTTTTTATTGCTGTAGCCTGCAAGCTGTGGTTATAGCTAAAGTCAGGGACTCATGTATATGGCGGGAATCATTTATGAGAATATTAGATTACGGGCCGGATTCATCTCCTAAACTGGATTAGGTAATAAAAGAGTCAGCCGCCTCTGAGGCCAGTGTGGATGTGCTGAGTCAGAGCCCGACGTGCGCACTCTCAAACACGCACACACATCAACACAGATACATGCGTAGAGGCAGCCGCGCACAGCAATTCTCCACTGCCTTTCTCTGCTCCTGTTTCCCTTACAGCCGAGTCTCTCGTCTGTGGGTAATTACAGCCTGTCATGGGGCGTTACCTTCTAATGCAGGCGAAGTGATGTGCCTGACGCTTGCCTGCAATTTATTTTGGGGAAATAAATGTGCTTTTATAGCCCAAGTTGAATCTTAGCACTGGGACTGGAGCAGCAAATACATCAGCTGTTCCTCTATTATTGTTTATTCAAATCCATCTGTAGGCACAGTGGGGGGTGGCAATTTTATGCCTTTTTCTTGAATACAATTCCTTAAAACATGTTTTGAGCCAGTTGTTTGGTGTTTAACCATTGGTCTATTCATTATTGTCTTAAAGAATGTCTGATCTCTGCAGGGAAGACTTGGTTTGATAAGTAATTATTGGCTTTCAGTAACTAAAATGAGCTTAGTGTGCTGCCTTTTTTTTCTATGAAACCACCCTCCATTCCTTCTACACTTCAGCGACATCCAGCAGGCATTCATTTTAAGCTAAATGTACTAGAACCAGATATATACATAAATGCTGAATGTCCCCTTTTCTCTTCCCCTCCTGGAACAGAAGGAGTAATGGGATGAGAGATTACAGATTCAGCAGCATCGCTGTTCCAACTTTTGTGCCCTGCTTTTCAGGAGGCCTGCTTGCTGTGGCTCGCAGTGGGTCCGACATTGAAATGTCAAAGCCATTATCTCAAATTACAAGGGCTGAGGATGCGTTTAGTGGCCGTTTAACCGTGCAACGCTCCCTACTATGCAGACAATCATTTGGAAGAGGCTGCCAAAATCTGCCTGTTCTCAGACTTCTCTTTCAGCATAGTATTTTCTCTGAAACCCATATGGTCATTTAATACTAAATAGTATGCATCAGACACTACATTATATGGCAGAAACATGCACATGATTAACTTCCTGCCATGGTTTTGGAAAAGAATATGTAGCTATTTTGGACCTGTATCTGTCTTCTCTGGAGAACAGTACTAGTAGTTAAAAGAATAGTTCGCCCCCTCTCAGCTTTCTTATTAGGACATGAAATGTGTTTATCACCAAAATAGTGGAGCTTAGCCAGCGTCTACAATAAAAACAAGTCTACATCCCGCACGGAGGAAGGTGGCCATGTTTATTTTCTGCTTTAGAATATAACCGCCATGAAGCAATTAGAAAATAAAGCTTTATTCACTGCTTTGTTCTCATTAACGCTGGTCCCTCGCTTCATTCAATTCTGAGTTCTCTCAACCATCGCTGCTCTTTTTGCCTTTAAAGGCACACCTTCAAGCCCTGTTGTAATGGAGATGCGTATCCCTGCCACAGTGGGCTAGTGCGGTGAGTCAAACCAAGTCCAGCCAAGTCTAGTTACTGATCCTGGCCAAAAAATCCCGCACATAACCCCCTTTAAAGGGCAAATTAGTGAGCTTTAGAGGTGCTGGTTGGCAGATTTTACTACTTTTGAATCTAGCCAGGCCTTATTTTTTTTTGTTTTCAATTTGACATAAGAATGGTATCAATCTTGTCATATAACCCTAGGCAAGAAAGTGAAAGAGCATATTTTCCAAAAAAGGTTTAACTGGCCCTTAAACATGTCTGGTAAGGGAGCTTTTCCAGCAGGAACCAAGAACTGCTTTGACTGGAAGGCAAAAGTTTTAATCCCCTCAACATTCACTGTCAAGATAAGAATATCAGCTTGAATGTATAGATTTTTTAAAATTCAAGGCAGAGATGTTCAGAGATTATTCATGGTACAAGGATTGTAGTTACTCTGGGCAGGGATTTATAAGCTGATGCAGAAGGGGGGTCGGTTAAAGCAGACTTTGGAGCCTCTGTTATTACACATATGCTTGTAAAGTGAAGGTCAAAAACATGGCAGGAGTATTGTGTGGGTGTGCATCTGAAACCAACCCATTAATACACAAAAAGCCCTTCAATATCTTATCTGGATGTTACAGAAACAGGTTAACACTGAATATCAATACATGCAGCTAATACTGGAATCAGAATGTAAACAGATGTAGAAGAAATTCAGGGCCCATGACATCTGATCACGTAATATGAGGTGTGAATGGGACCTTTTCCAAGTGTGTCATCAGTATGGATTGCTGATTTTGAACTCATCCTTAATCAAACTGAGCTGCTCTGGATATTGGCTCTTGTAAGCAGCCAAATACTTAGTATGAGCCAGATGATGCCGATACGCTTCATTCAATTAAAAGTGTAAATCGTAGGCCTAACAAGACTGTCAGCACTGTGGGATCGGAGGTTCGGTAATTAGCTTTGTTGTCACAGTTGGGTTGAGATGGGACAGGACTAGGCTGAGCTAGGCTACTGAAACAGATGAGTTTCCTGTTCTGATCTCACAACTGGGAGCCCAGACATCATCGAAGTCAGCCGAAGCAGGCTTTTTCTGCTCAATATATCTGTTTATGTCACCTGAGAGTCGGCTATTGGTGGTTGGAATTTTGTAACACTGACAACACACTTAAACACTTGTAATGTCAAGAATAGTTCTGCACACAGACTAGTGTTGTTTATTGAGCAACATCACATCCCAAAGTCATTTAGTCTCATCTGCACATTACTTCTGCTATTTTGAAGACTAAACCTTACTAAGAGGATTTCTTCAGGAAAAAGGTTGCAAACACAAAAGAACCTCTTAACAAGGTTTAGCATTTTGGGAAATACGCCTATTCACTTTCTTGCCAAGAGTTAGATGAGAAGACAACGCTCATGTCTGTAGGGCAAATATGAAGCTGGAGCCGGCAGATGCTTAGCTTAGCATAAAAACTGGAAATAGGTTTTCGTACAGATTGAGATAGACTGTACATTAACGATTGAGCTTTATTTTTTCCAGTCTTGGCTGCTGGTGGTAGCTTCATATTTACCATACATAGGAGTGGTATAGATCTTCTCAGCTAACTCTTGGCAAAAAAAAAAGCAAATAGGTTATATTCATAGTTAAACATTTTGGGGAATACACTTTAGCCTTAGAGGTGCTAGTAGGCACATGAAGTTTCCAGGCTTTGTGCTAAGCTAAACTAACTGGCTGCTGGCTCGAGCTACAGTACATCTTACCTACCGTACAGACGTTAATGTGGTATTGATATTCTCATCTTATTCTCTGCAAGAAAGCGAATAAGTGTATTTCCCAAAATGTCTAACTGTTTAACTAACCTTTAACTCCTTTAATTCTATAAAATCTATAAAAACTGTCATGCTATTATTACGTTTATAGTCTGCCCTACAGGGGAGTTTACCACCTGTATGTGAACCTGTAGATTATGATCGATATAGGTGGCTAGTGGTTTAAGGAGTCGATGTGTCTGTGCAATGTTTGAATGTCCTTATGAAACCCTTTATTGAGCAGAATTTAAAGTCAGACTGAACGCTAGCCCAGCTCCCTATGCTGTCTCTCTATAGACTCCCATCCTGCCTTGAAATTCTCTCTCCAGCTAATGCAGTGCTGCTGTATGACTCACCTAAGCCTGCTCCTCCGATCTTCAGTCTGTCTGCCTGCCAGTAAGTGGGTTATGGAACCGCACTGGGGGTCTCTTCTCAACCATGACATAACAACGCACTCAGGCACTGACTGGAGACATACCTGTTTACTGCCTGTAACAAGCAGTCAGCTGGCTTTAAGTGTAGCTTTGGCATTGAGAAAGGTTGGGTTGAAGGGGGATTAAGGGAAGGCTGCTTCGCAAGATGATAGATTTACAAGAGGTCTTTTGCTCTCCTGCATGTTTATCAGGGCTTGTGTTTACTTCTGCGCTCATAGACAATTGTTTGTCTAGCACTGGTGTACCCTTGTGTGTGTGTGTGTGTGTGTGTGTGTGTATGTGTGTGTGTGTGTAGCCTTTTTCACATTCACTTCATATCCTTTCAGCACAAGAGACGTTCATTTATACCATGACCTTTTCCCAGAGGCAGAGAAAATCCTAAAGGTGATTCAAATGGAATTTGTACTTTGAATAATGAAAGAATCCTTTTTGTGAAAAGAGGCAAAGCCAAATCACTACCAGAATTATGAACAATTTTGTTTTCTTTATTAGTACCCATACGCTCGCCCCTAACCTGCTGGTTTTGTGATTGTTGTGTGGGTATGTGCATG